AGAGAGCATCCTAGTGGGCTTCTTAGTTACTTAGGCAGTTCTGAAAATTTTAACTTTAGTCCAGTTTTCATCTGATTGTGGACAATGCATGACCCTTCCTCATTTTATGAACACAACTTTTAGGTCTCTATCTGCCTGATTTGTAAAAGACTTTGCCAAAAGCTTTGTAGGCCAGTGAGATAATTGTGTTAGGTTTACACGGATAGAAGGCTATACGAATAAAGGACCTACAATGGACAAAGTTAACTATGAAGAGTCTTATTTGCAGATATCGAAGAAGTTTCTTTTATTGGGAAGTCAACATTGTATTGTTCCTGAAATGGACAAATTTTGTTTATATGATGTAAATTCAATAATGCCACAACACCAGAATCCATCTATTATTATAAATCAGAATAATCACATGTATGTAAGAGTTTAGGATTCCCCAGACTGCATATTGATAACGAGTTCAGACACCTTTTCTACCTCTAAGTCATCCTGCCAAACCCTCCCTGTGTTTGTTTAAACACGTAGTACAGCAGCAACTCAGCCTCCCAATTAGCTTTTTCCCTCTAAACATGTTAGACGAATTTCTGGGGTAAACTCAGCATGCTCCCTGCCCAGATACGTAATGTTTATACTATGGGAAACACAGCCTTTCATTTGCTAACTCAATACAAATGAACATTTAAGAAAGCTCATTTTGGGGAGCGGGGACATTTCAGATTTACTTTTGGGTTTCTATTTGCCTAAAAAACAAACAAGAAAATTTACAGTGCTCTACTTAGTTAGAAGATAGTGAATCATTAGCTAAACATACTATATTCACGGCATATTGGTCATCTTTATAGCCCTGTCCAAGAGCATACTGTGTATCAAATGATGTCCGGTTCTGTGTGGGAGCACAATTGGGAGCAGAGAGTATAAGAAGTTTTATTCCTCCTTGTGCAGGGAGTAGGCACAATCCCAGTGAACACAAGGATTTGATAAGTGTAGTGTCACTACTGGCAAAGGATTCCACAAAATGGGTGGAGAGGGGAAAGGGATATACTCTCCCTTCCATACTTCAGCAAGCAGGGCTTGCTGCATGTGAAGGTGAGAGAGCAAGTTGCACTCTTTCAAAAGGTGATTCAGTAGCCATGTTCTTCCTGCTGTGCTGAAGGTACGATGCCAGCTCAGGCACAATGTTCCTGGGTCCTCACTGCCCACCACCCCCACTTAGCTAGTGGCACTAGGGTCACAATCTGTCTCTGTGTTGACTTTTACCTGTTTTATCATGAAGCTTCACCATTTTAGAAAAGTTTTTTGTCCATTCCAAATCACTTTAGTGTTTCCATCCTGTAGGCTTAGACCAACTTACTGACAGCTTTCTCAGCATCATGGGATGCAATCCATGCCTCTTGCAAGAGCTGGCTCACAGGTGACAGGACATTTAATAGTCTCCTAATATTAGTAATGGTTAAGTCTACTGGGCCTGAAGCCTCTTCGGCCACTCTGGATTCACCGAGTAACTTTTTTTAAATCTGTGGGCCAATCTTTTGTTAAGATTTTAAAGTTTCTCTTTAGCAATGAGATTACATCCACACTCCATGGAGCTTTTCCCTTTATTTTAGTATTAGGGATAGATGGGTGGTTGATGGAATGGGTTCTGATATTGATCCTGATTTCAGAAGTTGGTTAAATAAGTTTAGTGTATATTCAGACAGCCAAGAGGTTAGGTTTTATAGTATTCTACCAAGAATCAGTGAGGATTGGGACTCACTATTAGGAAGGTTTTCAAAGCCCTCAACAGTTCCTCTTTTATAAATGTTTGGCCTAATTCATTAGCTAGGATCAGAGATGACAGGTAACAAATGAAGAATTTTTGAATTACGCTTGAGTCATATTCTGCTTCTGAAATGAAGCATCTAGATACTATGATGACTGGCATGCTGTAAATATTTTAGGCAGTGTGACAAAGTCCCTCCTCTATCTTGGTGGGTCCTGTGCTTATTGGAGGATTTTCTTGCCTCAAAGATTCACCATGTGGGTTGGGGAACAGCCCAGAGACCTTCCCCTCTCGGAGAACCCACTATCTAGGTCAATTGGGGAGAACCCAGGCCCACCCTCTACTCTTGGTTTCAGCCCAGGGCCCTGTGGACTGCAGCTATCTATAGTGTCTCCTGTAACAGCTGCATGACAGCTACAACTCCCTGGGCTACTTCCCCATGGCCCCCACCAAACACCTTCTTCCTGATAACACTTGTGCGCCTCAGTCCTCCAGCAGCACACCCTCTCAGCTCCTTGCACCTCTTGCTCCCAGCTCCTCACACTCCCACCACAAACTGGGGGTGAGCTCCTTTTTAAAACCCGGGTGCCCTGATTAGCCTGCCTTAATTGATTCTAGAAGTTTCTTCTTAATTGGCTCCAGGTGTCCTAATTAGCCTGCCTACCTTAACTGGTTCTAGCAGGTTCCTGATTACTCTAGTGCAGCCCCTGCTCTGGTCACTCAGGGAACAGAAAACTACTTATCCAGTGACCAGTATATTTGCCCTCGACCAGACTCCTGTACCTCACTGGTCTGGGTCTGTCACAATGGATAGATAGAAGGACCAGTAATAGGCAAAAAATCCCCCTGCTGTATGTGTAGAATCATTTGTGATATTTCTTACAGAAGCCCTTTACATGGTTGGGTTAGCAGAACATTCATTATTGCATGTTAGGAAGCAAGCTAATAGTTTGTTGATGTCACAGTATGAATGAGTTTTGAAAACATGACCTGGATTCTGACATGTCCAGGAGTCAGAGAGTTTTGGTAGGATGGGACAGTGTCTTCCTGCTTATGGGTACAAATAAGACAACAAACTACTATGTTTCAAAATTATACTCATATATATTAATGCTCTGATTTTTAAAGGGACTGAGCTCTGTAGCTCCAAAAGCCGCTGTGAGATTGTGCTCTGCACTTCTGAAAATCAGGCCATAATATCCTAATGGGCTTCTCACGTTGCCTTTTACTATGGCTACACCCCATCCTGAGAAAGGAACTAATATGGTTACTGCCCACTTGGGAAGTTGTCATGTCTATGTCTGTCATGCCCATGTACATTCCTGTTCCTTTCATTTCTCAGGTGGCTTCAAGTCACTCTGGTTTGGCCTTGAGCCTTATAACTAGAACCCCTCCCCACCCTCCAAAAGTTCAGATCAAATAAAAAACATGGGTGTCCAGAGCCATGCTTTTGCTTTGGGCCAATCTCTATTTAGAAAACTACCTTGGCATACTGAACTCACCCAGAAATGCACTACCACTTTGTTGTTTAAATATTGCACTTTTTTTTTGTTAGAGAAACTTTACAGAGTGGAGAGTGGCAAAGGAGTTAGACCCTTCCGCCCAGACCTGATCCTAGAGACTGCAGGAGAAGGAGAGCTGGAAGTAAGCCTACACTAAAGGAAAAGAGGAAATGCTTCTAGCCAGGTCAGAGATGGCTGGTGTGGGAGGATGAAGGCTATACACATTGTATGTTCCAATGCTGTGGCCTTTCAGGAAGAAAAAATGTCCCATAATTAACATCAGTGCAATGAAATGTAATTCTCTGGACTTCTTTCCTCCTCACTCCAGTGCCCATAACACAGCATTTCCTTCTTCTGCACCTGGTGGCTTCCAACAACTACAACATGTGTTAAGGGTGGGTCTTTCTGAATTCACATGGTGTCCAGTGGGAAGTGTTTGTCAATCCACTGGAAAAGAAACGAAAGAAAAAAGCAAACAAATCACAGGATATTTTCCCCACTTTTAGAATTATTATTTTTTTATTGCATTAAATTTTTGATGGGACATATGGGACAAAGAAGACCCCTTTTTCATTTTAAGGAACACGTGTATGTTTAGTATGGCACAAGTGACTGTTCGTCCTGACCAGATGCATCAAGGGGAGGGAGCTTTACCTTTGTCTGAAGCATCAGCTATTAGCCAATTCTGCAGGTGGGATAACTGGGCTAAGTGATTAATCATCTGATTCTACATGACAAGAGCCCAGATACTGGACTTCATTAATGGATCATCTGATCCAGTGTGGCAAATCCTATATTCTTAAGTGGAGTGATTTATGGGGTCTATGTAACTATTTGGGAAAGGGCTACTATTATCTTTTGACAACACTTTCAAACAGTAATACAGTATTAATTTCTATATTACAGTAGTATGTCTTTAAAAATGTTGATATTATTAAACCACAATAATCATTAAGCACTAAAGTGGATATCTCAGAGGACTGGTAACAGATGACTTTTTATCTCTGAGTCACCAGTTCCAGCCAGGACCCACGCTCAGGGAATTGGGGATGGAATTACTAAGGCTTTCACTTCTAGGTCAATAATTACAGTCTGGTACCAGGTTGGGGGACTGGATCCTTTCATTTGGCTTTCATTTATGGACCACTGATTCAAATTCTGTTCAGGTTGGTAGTCATTACTGAAGGTCAGTATCATCTGGCTGCTGACCAGTGGCTAATGTGAAGTGAGTGTTGCTGTAAGGTGCCTATAGTGAATTCCCTGGTCACAGATTAATAACAATTGGTCACATTTTAATAAGTTACTGGCCAAGAAGGATGGGAGAGGGATTCCATATTGACTAGTGAACAGATCCTGGTCTTGCTGTTTAACCCTATTACCATTCTTTTGCAACTACTCACCTGAATTTACCCTGGGTTGTACATTCTCAGGTGTGTATGCTTGTAAAAAGTTGCTGGGAGGAAGATCCAGAGAAAAGGCCTGACTTTAAGAAAATTGAGAGCACTCTGGCTAAAATATTCAGGTAAGCACTGTGTTCCAAACTCCCAGCTACTTAGATGCTGATAGTTATAGGTGTGTATTCTGATGCAACATGACTCAATCAGTGAGAAACAGAATTCACTGACTGGGCCCTTCCTCATCCTTTGACAAAAGGGCAGGTGTGGGTGTGTGAGAGAGATGATCACCCAGAGCCCAAATTATTACATTGTGTAAATAGGGACTACCCAAGTGTCTGATAATGGGTCATGATGTCCAGATTTCAGGAAATTAATGGAGTTGGATATTCTGGGGATGAGATGATTAGAAAGTTTAGATGACTTGTTTTGGTGATATTAATGGATTCAGATGACCACAAAGTGAGGTGATTGAAAAGATCAGGTTACTCAGAGCAAGGTAATTATAGGGTTTGAGTGAAATGAGTTCCCTGTCATACTTTTTCTAATCTAGTTATTTAAAAGTCCCAAGCAATGGGTTTTCAGCCACTTCCCTTCAGAGATTATTTCACAACTTTTAAACCTATCCCCATAAGTCTGTCCCACCAGCCACATGTTTATATTTTTGTTGCTCTTCTTTGAACTTCTTCCAGATTGTCATTATTGTTCTGATAATGTGGTGTCCATAACTGAACACAACATTCCAGATGAGGTCACACCAAAGAAGTGCAGAAAAATAGTTAGATTCACCTCCAGGGGCATGGAGGAACACACAATTCATGCTCAACAACTGCAGTGGCAGTTGCATTAGAGGGAGGCTTACCCCAGGGGAGGGCAGTTGGTTCCGCTGCCACCTTAACATGGATGTTTTGCTTGGGGAAAAGGCAGTTTCCATCAGAATCCAAATTATTGGATCTTCCAGCCGTCTTGGCCCCATCCACTTCATAGGCTGCATCTGCTAGCTCAGGACCCCAAGTGAAGCAGAGATTATGATTGGCTTGTGCTATATCATCTCTGCTTCTGGCAGATGGTCCATTGATGGGAGTCTTCAGTCCAGGTTCCACCAGAGGAAACCAGCAGATCTCAATGAGTAAATAAGTGAATGGACCCACAGCCTCTTACTTCCCCATTTCGTGATAAGATGCCATTGCAAAGGCAACCCAAAATTGCATTGGCTTTTTTTTTTGGTGCTATGTCCCACTGCAAATTCATATCTAATTTGCTGCCTCCTATCACCTCTAGCTCCTTCTCAGGATTCTCGCTTTCCACGGCACTCTCTCCCATTGAATATTTGTGTCTCAGGTTATTTTAAGTGACCTGAAACTATGGAGATTAGCAGGGCCAGGAGAACTGGGGCTCAGAAAATTAGCAAGACAGGGTGACCTGGGTGGGCCTCAGGCCTTCATGCCTTAAGAATAAGACCTTTGCTAAGAGGTGAAATTATGAGCTTTGAGCAATTTCCATTCTAACTGCAAGGAGGCCACACTCTGAAATAACCTTCTGTAGCTCACTTTTGCCCTTGTCCTACCAATGTGCTTTCTTCATCCTTTTCCCAACCACTGTTCCCAGTAACTACCATAGTCAGACCAATGAAAGCTACATGGATACCTTGATCCGGCGTCTGCAGCTGTATTCCCGGAACCTAGAGCATCTGGTAGAGGAGAGGACGGAGCTATACAAGGCAGAAAGGGACAGAGCGGACAGGCTTAATTTCATGCTGCTCCCACGGTGAGTGTTGACTAAGAGGGGTTTCCATGCAGTAGGAAGCGTTCAGTATTGACTGTGAGACCCACTGGTGTGTAATGCATCAGAATCATTGTGGAAGGCTCCAACCACAGTGAACATGAAGGCGTGAATAATATTTGCTCCACAGAATAAATTGTAACAGTTCACAGTGATTGCCTCCAGAGATCCAGGTCAGACAAAATGGGCTAAATTATTCTGTGAGTTATAACAAGTGACTAAAAGCAGAATTTGGCCCATTTTCATTCTTTTTTGCCTATGATTGGTATTATCACCTTTCAAATGGGCTGTAGAATGGAGGTCCTGAACTTGTAAGGTAATTAAAGATCCCATGTCTTTACCATGTAGCCTTTACTGACTATTAACCCACATTAGGACAGTCCTCTCCTCTTGGGGTGATGGATTTGGTTTGGTTCTGCAGGGCTCTGATTGAAAATACTATTTTGCCAGAGGACCATAATATTCATGGCCTGGTTGAACTTTATAATGATTTTTTTGTCCACAGCTATTAATATAGTTTGCCCAACATACTCTTTCATACAGTTTTTTCATCTCCTACGCTGCCATGGTTTACAGATGACTTGCAAGAGGGGAGCAAGTGGGGTGACTGCTAGAGCACTTCAGGAGGAAGTTTTGTGCTAATTAGACTAACTGGAACATTAAGAACTTTTACAGTTTTATGATGCCATGGCTGTGCAGGAGGCAAAGAAAGATTTATTTGTGGAAAGCTAGCTGAGAGCTAGCTGGCTGAAGCATCACAGACATAAGATTGAAGTTGAGGTTGAGTGGGTTGAGGGAAACTATCAAAAGAATTTGCAAAGAATATATCAGATCCCCAGATGGAGGGACAGCCATTTATGGAACATGTTGGTAATATGGGTGTTTTGTTAGACTGACGACTGCTCCAGGGTGCTTTGCTAGAAGCTATAGCCAAGAATCTTGTATCTGGTGAGATGAATGGGACAGTTTCTTTCAGATGCAGGCAGACTTCACCACCATTGTTCATGCTTCTCTCACTTTCAGCCTAGACTACTCTAATGAGCTGAGATCACTTGGAAACTGAAGCTGGTGCAGAATGAAGCTGCCTGCTTAGTGAGTGGAATTTCACATTAAGAGCACATAATGCTGGTGCTCTGGGATCTGCACTGGCTGCCTGTTGGGATCCAAGTGGAGTTGAAGGGTTGGGTTTCACCTATAAAGTACTAAATAGTTTGGGACTTGGTTGCCCTTGAGACCACCTCTCTCCCTAAACTGTACTGCTGCAATTGTGGTCAACAGAAGCCCTTGATACAGAAGAAATGGGGCTGTCAACAGATCATTCTCTGTGAAGCCTGATCTGCTCTGGATCATGCTTCTCACCTGGTCTGCCAGATCAGCTAGCTTTCCAGAGAAGCTATGTCACAGCTTGCCAGGAGCAAGGCATCTTGTGCCGTATGCCTTTGCTAGATGAGTAACAGTTAGTTGAAATTAATCTTTAAAAATGGGCTTTTAAACTCTCAATAAAAATGAAGAGTTTGTTGCATGCTTAAACTGAAGGTGAGGTCAAATTGTGAGCCCCTGACCTTGGGCATGGATGATTTGGGTTAACACTGGGGAGCTGCTCTCCTGCCCCAGCTTCCCCCCATGCTCCCTCTTAGCAGAAGCAGACAGGTGAGTCTGATTGTTGACTGCCTCCTCAGGGCTCTTCTGACTACTGAAAGATCAAGTCTTAT